GAGCACTTTCCACCCGGGAGAAAAGTAAAATTCAAAAAAGTGTCACTTTTACACTTGTTGTAAATAATATTCATTTTCTTTAGGTGACACCACGGTGACATTTGTCAAGCTCACTAGTTTTTTACCCTAACCACACAAAATTTTGTCGCTAAAAAACCATCATGTTGGTTTTGTCAGTAGCAGGCCCTGCGATCTCTCATTGCCAGTTATAACCCACATAATAACTCTTTTCCGTTTTTCTAGATGTCGCTGACAACCACAGAATTGTCAAAGTTGTAAAATACCAGCACATCAAGAACACGTCCTATGTCGATAACTGACATGTCAACATATGACAATATGCCAAAATATTCATTTGAACATAACTAATAAGTCATAATGTTTTTTGATCGCCGGTCTTGCATTTAATCTTTCTTTGTGTTGTCAAGTGTTCTTATGTGATTTCAAAGTTGTTTTGTGTGTTTCAAGAAGAACTTCAAACTTTATAGATTTGAAGATCTATTTTTATCTTTGTTGATTAGATAAATGACAGGTTCATTTAAACATCAATCAGAACTTTGAATAAATATGTTAAGGATACCCTTAACTATCGATAAAGAAACTGGCTTTTGATCTAATTAGCAAACATTAATGCCCCAAAGTCTAGAATAAACGAATTTGAACAGACCGACAGTAATGCGAACAGGGCGCCATCTATCATAAAAAGTCCTATGTAAAGTAGGTGTCTGTAGCATCGATGTAAAACCAGTAAATACACTGAAAAAAGTCAGCATTAAAACTCAAGTCCTACGTGACTTTGAGGCCAGCATTATACTATTCAAGAGACTAGTCTTGCGAATTAAGAACGGTATTTGGTGTTACGAAACTCTTCATAACAGTATAGAAATTCTTTTTTAATAGTTAAGTCAGCGGTTCCCAACCGGTGGATCGCGACCCCTAAGGGGGTCGCATAGGGTTTTATAGGGTTTTTGGAGGTGTCGCAATGCCAATATCAATATACAGGGTGTCCCAAAAAGATACCGACAAACTTTAAGGGGTAGTAGGGGACATCAAAACAAGCATTTTTGTTTATATAAACATATGTCCGCAAATGAGCCATTTAGGCTGTAGAGCAAAAAAACTGTTTGATACTTTTAATTCTTCGCAATAATTCAATCACTGTTTACTTATTAATTTTGCTTTACAAACAAATAAATTATGGTTTACAATAATAATTGTTCAAAATGTTGACTATTTACTTCAATGCAAAGATTGCACCGTCGGGTCATTGACTGAAAAGTTTAGTCTACGAAACACCTGTTCGTAATAAGGAAGATCTGTTAGCAAGGATATTGGCGAGTTGTACCCATGTAGAAGCTATTCCCGGAATATTCCAAAGAGTTCGCGAGTTGAAGAATTATTGTAAACCATAATTTATTTGTTAATAAAGCAAAATAAATAAGTAAACAGTGATTTAATTATTGCGAAGAATAAAACTAGGTACCAAATAGTTTTTTTGCTCTACAGCCCAAATGGCTCATTTGCGGACATATGTTTATATAAACAAAAATGCTTGTTTTGATGTCCCCTACTACCCCTTAAAGTTTGTCGGTATCTTTTTGGGACACCCTGTATATTTTTCTGCATTTGGCAACACGCCTTAGCCTACGCTTCAAAAGAGGCGCAGCGTTGCATTGACCTTACAGACGAAGTGCCTAGCACAGATTGTGAGTCACATGTTTTTCAACATAGGTAGCTATGCAAAATGGCTGAAGCATCAGAAACAGAAATTGTAGAGAATCCAAAAAAAAATATTGGTTATCACCTTCAATCCCTTGAGAATGATTATTTTCTCGATTTATCTGAACAAAAAGCTGCAGTAGAAAGGAACCCGTTCCAAGTCTCGTTAGATGTTGCCGACGTTCGTGATGAAGTGCTGGATAAATTTTTAGAGCTGAGGAATGATTCCAGGAAAAATGCTTTACTGAAATTTGGTGTGCGATGCATAATTCATATCCTTATATCGCCCTGCATGTGCTTTCTTTCCGGATATTAATACCATTTTCCTCTACCTACCTTCGTGAATTTGGGTTTTCAACTCTTTTACAAATTAGAACAAAGATCAGAAATAGATTGGGCGTTCAAGATGACATAAAATTGTCTAACAAAAACTCAACCAAGAATTTCAAAACTTGTTACGGTCATGCAAGCTCAGTCATCACAATAACAAAATAAAAATTGACATTTTCTACGAGCGTGCGGGAAATGGCTCTTCCCGCACGATTTGCTGTGCGGGAAGACTTTTTTCCCGCACCAGTGCGGGAAGAGATTTCTTCCCGCACTCAGTGCGGGAAGATTTTGAAATAATCATTGTGACATGGAATTGTTTGTATTGTTGATACACCTATACCTTTACCTTTGATACCTTTACCTTTTTTTTATAAATACCTTTCAATACATTTTTCATTCTACCTTCTGCACAATCGCATTTTATTTAAATTAAACTTCTCGTAACATCAGCTTTAGTATGCTCGTAGAAAAAATATAGTTCCTAACTCTTGCGGGAATAAATTTCCGCTATTTTGTATTTAGTTACCAAATATTAATATTTTTGTTTAAGATTTCTTGAATAAATGAAATTTTGTTTTTTATTTATTAATGGGTAGGGGGGTCGTGACCTTATGAGCAAATATGTAAAAGGGTCGTGACTAAAAAAAGATTGGGAACCACTGAGTTAAGTCAAGTAGCGGTTGATCATTCCAGATAAATATCAAGACACATGTCTTTATTGTTAAGAAACTTTTTCTTATGAATACATTTTTAAGGACTGGGATACAATTAAACACATGCTTTCTTTAATAATATGAATATTATCGATTATATTAAATCCTCGAGTTGTTACTTCAACAGCCATTGAAAACGTAAAAGATAATAGATAGAGAATTTAGTTCCATGTGAATTGCCTTAACATTGGCCCAAACGTTTCGTTGTGTCGATGCTGGCACAAGGTCACACGGTAAGGTACCGCACAACGTCTTCCAGTAAAAACCATCTTCATCAGTCTATATTTTTTGCCCTTCGCGAGCGTACAGATTGTGTTCTAATTATTTCAAAATCGTCGATTCGAGATTTTTTTCAAAGAAAAAATATAAAAATGGCATGCAAAGAATTTCTTGGAGAGATAGATCTGCGGCATCACTTAGGAAATTTTGAAGGTAAGTCCTTATATATAATAATAATTTACATTTTATTATTTTAGTAGATATGTGCATTATGCCATTAGAATAATCATTAACAGAAGATAACAGTTAACAGTAACCTGAAAACCCATTTTGAAGGCATCCCCATAAGCATCATTTTCCCATACACGATATTCATTTCTTGTTACTATAAAGAGATTGCCATTAACATAATTTAAGCTTCAAACTATGATATTGAATTGCAGTTTGTAGCATTATAAATAGAATCCCTACTTAAATTATAAATACTTTATTTTATTCCTTCTTTGGTATTTTAGAAGAAGCCATTACCCCAAAAGATTTGCTGTTTCTCGACTCCGACGCCATTGCGAAACTTTTACCAAAATTAGGGGAAAGATTCTTAATGGTGAGAAAATTAGCGAAAATCAGAGAAAAACAACGCCTAGAGAAGAACAACGTCTGGAAAAAAAATCTTTCTCCTAATCTTCCCATTATTGATGCGACACTTAATATTTCCACCTTACCATCAGAACAAGCTGAAGCATCATTGGTGAGTATTTAAATTATGAATAAAAGTATGTACGTCAATGACTCCATCTTATTCTGCAATGTTCTAGATAGAACTAGTTGTCATCGAGGGCAAAACCTACTCTATTTTAACGACCACCGAAAACACAACAAATAATGACAATAATTTCTGCGAGTGTTTCCAAGAAGAGTATGATAATAATAATTATGACACTCATAACCCAGTGTAAGTTTTAGTACCCATATGTTTATTCATTTATGATTAATTCATTTTTATAATTTGTAGATTGAATTTGCACAGCGAAAGTCTCATTGAAGAACTTCTGGCATCATCTATCAGTGTTTGCTTCAACACCAAAGAGATCTGTTCTATATGATTTGCATAAGTACCTACATTTTTTGTAATAAAACTATGAAAAAATATTCTTTGTGTATCATTCAACATCCAAAGTCACAATTTTTATTATGAGTTGAAGTCTATGTAGTGCTGATTTATATCATAATGTTTCCAGTAATACATGTTAAATCTTCAGTATCAATAGAAAATGCAGGTATATTTTTAAGAAAGTCAGGATGACTTTACTATTAATGCAGGATGATGTTATCTTAAGCTCTCAATGGAATTAAGATAAGCTCAAGGTACTTTGAGAATTTCATCTGCAACACGTCTTCATAGTGAAGACTCATAACTTACCTCATATCCGAAGTTCCAGCTACTTCATAATAAAGAAGTTGCAGTCATATTTATAGCTAAGTTTTTTCAGTGTAGTGATTTTCCGATATGGTAGATGGCGCTGGCTTGGCTCAATTTTGTTGACAACAAAATTTACACTGAGATTCCATTCTCGACAGTTTATATATATAGTATTTATCTCTGGTCAGTAGGAAACCGGCCGTTCCTATGACATTTTTGCCAGTGTGAAAAACTCTAGTGAAATAGTCATGGATAATCATTTATTTCCATGAAAGTGTGTGCATTTTGGTATGAATTATTAACAGCGATTTCTTTCATGTTTAACAAGACACATTGTTCGCCATGCGATGTTAATTTGTCTTCTAACAAAATAAAATGACACTAATTCATCTAAAAAAAGTAGTAGAGCTAACATTAGATACTAGTAATATAATGCCTAACATATCCCATTCAAGATATAGGATAGGCAATAACAATTTATATGAAAATTTTAGATAGAAAATAGTACTTAAATAATCATTTGAACTAATAAGTAGTAGGTGTTTTATCAACCATGCAATATTTTAGGATAAAATCATTTGAAAAAAAAAATCACTGAATGAAGTATTCTAAAATTTATTTCATTGTTACAATAGAGTATAGTACCGGTCCCAATGATATTTTAAGCGGAGCAGTTATCCAGAGCTGGTACCATTACCATTTGCTGAAACAAAAACCAAAATGCGCGTTAGTAAACCGATACAAAAATTAAATGCTCTTATAAATACTAACGTGGCGGTCCTGGTGGTGGTCCTCCACCTCTTCCGAAGCAACTAGCGCTATGAACATGGTGCGCTATTGGCGCGTGATTCGCTAGATCCCTCTTCACCAAGCTGCTGGAATCTGAAGCTTTACCGGAACTGGAACCACCAGCGCTTCCACTAGCCGAACCTGAACCTTGCAAATGAAATTTTGGTTTCAAACACTAAATATAACTTTTTTTTTCGAGAGAATTGACTGTTAATATAGCTGCAAATTGCTTTTAAAAACGTTAATTGTGACACAAAGAATGCTAATTTTGATTGATTAGCTATGGACCGAATATAACCAAACGTTAACCAAAATAACCGAATGGTTACTGAAAATTCCGGTTACTTGGGGAACGCGAATATGAAATAAAAAATAATTGACTGAATTTACAGATAAAACCAACCGAACCTAAATTTGATAGCCGGTAACTATTTTGACATTTGGTCAACCAGATTTCAGGACACTAAGGTCCAAAAGTAACCAATTTTCCAGGAACCAGAGTAATTTGATTAGTTTCGGAGCGCGTAACCACAACCCTGGTTATATTCGGACCACAACCTATATAAATGTTGAAATGTTCATGTCACAGACGGAGACCCCGTTTAATAAAGTGATAATTTTTTTCAATACAACTTAATTTGATCCGTATTTTTTTATTTTTTTGTTTCGGACAAAAATGGAGTAAAGTTTTCAAAATTAAAAATAACTAGGGTTCAATTTTAAATATTCCAACAAGCAGAATTCCAACACAAAACTGAAAACGCTGTTATTTTGACTTTTGTGACGTCAATAATAGAAAAAAATGGAAATGATCACTTACCGCCAGCAGATGCACCCATACCAAATCCAAAATTAGCGGAACCACCAACTTGACCAGATCCAGATCCAGATTCACCAGCACCGCCACTTTGAGGGGCACCATTGGACAAGGCCTAAATATTTATTAATTAATCCTCATTTAGCTCATAGGTGTATTTTTTTTACTCACCAATACACTGAGGACTAAAAAGCCAAAAACAAAAACTCCGCTGTTTTTCATTTTTTTTTAAAATTTAGTAGACTTTGATTGAATTTCAAACTTCTACTTGATTCTACAGTAAAGATGCGACATTATTTTATATTAAAATATTGCACAAAAGGTTTCCGGGTTCATTATTATTGATACAATTAAACTTATTTTATGTACAAAAAAAAAAAAAAAACGTGTGTTAATGGGTGTTCATGCAGCGTGATGTAATAGGTATTTTAATTTGAGGTTTCCGATCGCTCCAGACAAGACCAATGCAATCAATTTGACAACATGATTATGTTCATCATGTGCGGCAAAATCTATTTGGAATCGCAAAAAAGAATTATTTGTAACACGTAATTTAAAAATATTAGCAGACGTCTAACATGTAATTATTATAATTATGAACACTAGCACAAAAATTGAAACCGTTCCAGATCCAGCAACTATAACTCAAAAAAAAAAGTATACCGGGTGTCTACGAGATTAGTTTCGCCCTGGCATTTGCTGGTTTTTTTTTTCAATGGCAAAGATTTTTGGTATAGCGTATAGGTTTGAGAAATATCATCTTTCGACATATGTGTCAATGTATGGTAATTTCCTGTTTGACTGGAAATGGCCCTAACTTCGTAATTTCGAATGGCATCCCAAGAATTTTTTTGCATTTTTGGGATCTGCGGATCATGATGTGTATGAAAACGTCAAATTTGAACATTTTTATTGAAACTTAAGAATTCTGGATTAAAATTTATTTTTGAATAGAAAGTGACAGAATGGCCTTTAAACTGTGTTTTCCAGCTCACACGATCGTAGAAAAATGCGAATGCCAAGTTGCTATCCTTTGCTTGTTCTCCAAAGACTTCCAAAGTTGGTAAAAAATGGCTACGTTCACCAGAACCAAAACGGATTGTAAAAAGTTCACAAATACCAACAGAATATGTTGGGTAAACTCTTGGTTCTGCTGAACGATTCAACTTTTCAATGATAGAACGTCACCTTCTGAATGACAGGTCACCACACAAAACATATTGTTGAAAATTATAAACATTCTGAAATTATGCTAGCAAAAATGGTGACCGTTTGCAAAACATGTTTGGTTTTAACACAAATTCAACGTAACGTTCAGCAGAACAATCGCAAACCGTTTACCAACGTTTGTATCTGGTGAACGCGGCCAATCACATTTTACGTGATAATTCAATGAAATCAGTGAAATCACCCCACTTTCACAACAAGAGATTCTTACCTTTTTCAAAATGAAATCAACTATGCATTAAAACTTCTCATTTATGCCAGTTTTTTAATTATTTTCTCATTATTTTTTTCATGCACTACTATAAATGATGAAACTACTTATAAATGAACTCCTGTATGAAAAAACGCTGTCTAAAAGAAACTGGTGGTCTTTTGTTACTTGCCAAGCCATTGACAAGACCTATGGACAAGATATGTTTGTTTGTATAGACATTTGTCATTGTTTGGCAATTTGTAAATACAAAGTTTGAATACAGGGGCTCATTTATAAGTAGTTTTATCTTATCATTTATAGTAGTGCATAATAAAAATAATTAAAAAATAATTAAAAACTGGCATAAATGAAAAGTTTCAATGCATAGTTAGTTTTATTATGAAAAAGATAAAAAAACTCTCGTTGTGAAAGTTGGGTGATCACACTGATTTCATTGAGACATCACGTGAAATGTGATTTTTACAACTTTGGAAGCTTTTGGAGAACAAGCAAAGGATAACAACATGGCATTCGTATTTTTCTACGATCGTGTGAGTTGAAAAAAAACAATTTAAAGACCATTCTGTCACTTCCTATTCAAAAATAAATTTTGATCCAGAATTCTAAAGTTTCTTCAAAAATGTTCAAATTTGACGTTTTCATACACATCATGATCCGCAGATCCTAAAAATGCGAAAAAATTCTTGGGATGCCATTCGAAATTACGAAGTTAGGGCCATTTCCAGTCAAACCGGAAGTTACCAAACATTGACACATATGTCAAAAAATGACATTTCTCAAACCTATACGCTATACCAAAAATCTTTGCCATTGAAAAAAAAACCAGCAAATGCCAGCGCGAAACTAATCTCGTAGACACCCGGTATATTATAATAATAATAATAATAAATAATAATAAATGGCCTTTATTTTTCACTTGGCGAAGGGCAGCATAGCTGTTCACTTAACCGAGCATTCAAATTCAAATTACAATAACATTGTTACAATTATTTACCTTATTCATAAGTATTTATAGTAAAATTGAAACAGAGATGAAAAAATAAAAATAAAAATAGAGAAAAAGCACAGTCATGTCAATACCGACTTAGCAACTTTCTCCTAAAAGCAAGTCGAAACCCCTGAAGAGAGAACATTTCGTCAGACCTACCCCATGTGTCACCATTAAACAGCCTTGGAACCGAGCAAGAAAATGAACGCTGGAATAGTGCTGTCTTATGTTTGGGAACACTGAAACATGTAGAATATCTTGTATCGCGATTGTGCACCTCATTTTTGAAGCACAATTTACTTCTAATATACTCAGGAACCCCACAACGCAGTATCTTCCAAACAAAACAAGCTAGGTAAAGCTTAGCCCTATCCTGCATATTGAGCCAACCCAGCTCCCGCAATTTGCAACTTACATGATCCCTAGCCCTGAGCCCATATATAAAACGTGTGACGGAACTAGCTATTACCCTTTTGTGGACTCTAGTCATTACCGCACCAGGGATGTCAAAAGTTTTTACTTTGACTGACTGTAAAAATTAACCATTAGGTGTTGGATCATTTAAGCCTTGTATTGAACTAGGGGTGCCTTGATTCTCATTTATACAAATAAAACGCTGAAATAGAATAGTTATCAATTTAATTAATAAATGAAGTTAATTCGGTTTAATCAGCAATCAAATCCTATCTAATAATTCCTATTTGGACGTCCAGTCGAACTACAAATTTTATACTAATCTAAAGTAAATAAGCGAGTAAATAAGTATCTTGATTTATAAAAATAGTGAAATTTCATAATAATAATATCAATTATGGTTAAATGTTCAATGAACGAGAACACAAATTAACTAATTAGATTTACGAGAGCACAACACAAATAATTCGTGAACTTCAATCAGCTCACTGTATTCACAAAATGTTTATTTATCCTTGAAAGTTCCTTTGTTTATTGAGAGTTAATAATTTGAGCACTTTTCTGCTGAAGTGTGTAAACAATAAGTGCAAGAAAAGTCTATATATATATGCTCAGTTTCTATATACAAATTTACAAATTAATGTTCATTTCACGAGTGTGAAAACCAAATTTCTGTATTAAAGGTTAGAACAAACACTTCAATTTATAGTGCATTTCAACCGAATCAGTATTCAGTATTTATTAATTTATTGTTCGACTGTTTTGAGAAATTGAAACGGTCTTACTTGCTTAATCCAGTTCATACCGGTAAATCCATATAGTGATTATTTATCACTATTCGTAGTAATTTGCACTGTCAGCTAAGGGATTTTCCACTAAGAGAGAGAACACAATGATATACAGAGTTGAAGCCCGTCGAGAGTGAGACAGGAATAACCTTAAACAGGCGTAGTAGAGAATTTTGCTAGGTCCGAGATGACTTGCAACAATTTAGGGGTTAATTACATGAATTGTAATCAATAATATCGTTGATAATATAGACCATGTCAGGCCTTGAGTCACTGGGGGTAGTATTTTACTATAATTCGCGTACTAACGGGGGTTTTCTGGGGGTTTTTTCCTCTGTAGAGCGTTCAGAGGCGAGAGGGTGCAGAGTCTTTGCTTACTCTTCTGCTTCTTTATTACTACTATTGTGTACCGTGCGTCGAGTCGACTGCCTTTTTCGGAGCAGGTCGCATAAATCAGGGATGTTGGGTGGCAACTGACCAATCACAACAACAAAATAGATCCATTGCTCATAGGGTAATGAAGAAATCTGTAATTTTACCGATTCAAAAGGGCTGCTGTTGCCAGTTTTACAGGATTCTTTTTTTAGAATATTATTTTTATGATAAATAATAGAAATTGAGATTATATTGATAAACTACAAATAATAACATTTTAAACTTGTTGTGGGTTATTTCCGCAACATATTCCCCCCCTTGAAGTTTCCAAACTTCAATGAGAGACGAAACATTAACAAAAAAAATAAACAACATATTTACAATAGAGAAAGTAGCAGGTTTTAATCCTGAATTGGTAAAGGACATACCTTTGCTATTCCTCGAGTAAAAACACCACTTTGTGTTTTCAATTTTACCACTCTGGTTTTATTGTCTCGTCCAGGGAATACCTCTAAGACTCTGGCTAAAGGCCATCTTAGAGGTGGAGTGTCATCTTCCTTTAAAAGTACTAATGTATTGGGGGTTAGATCTAGAGAATTCCGGAACCATTTAGGTCGATTTTGGAGTCTGTTCAAATAGTCCACTGACCAACGCTTCCAAAACACTTGTTGGATGTGTGAAATTTTCTGCCACATAGAAAGGCGGTTCTCATTAAGATGACTTAAATCCTTATCTGGGTGAGCCGTAAGGCTTGAACCAATTAAGAAGTGACCAGGGGTTAGAGTTTGATAGTCGTTTGGGTCGTTTGAAAGAACGCATAGGGGACGTGAGTTCAATATGGCTTCAATTTGCACTAAAATTGTATAGAACTCTTCAAACGTGAAGCGGGTTTTCCCAACCAGCCTGACGATGTGGTATTTGGCGCTTTTAATTGCTGCCTCCCAAATGCCACCGAAATGAGGACTTCTTGGAGGGATGAACTTGAATTCAGTTTCATTTTGAGAGAGAAAGTCCCTGATTGAGTTCAAATGGGTTCTATTTCTAAAAAAGTTATGCAATTCCTTCAATTGATTTTGGGCGCCTTGGAAATTGGTGGCATTGTCACTATGTATCACGGTTGGGTTACCTCTCCGGGCAATAAATCTTTTCAATGTCATGATGAAGTGTTCGGTAGAGAGCCCTGTCACCAATTCAATATGAATTGCCTTGGTGGCCAAGCAGACAAAAATTGCAATATAGCATTTAATTAGGGGAGCTTTGCGTAG